TTATAATTAAAATATATATATTTATATATATATATATATATATATATTTATATTTACGGGATTTGGCCGAGAGAAGCCTGCCAAAGGGAGAAAGTTACCCGCACGGCCAGCGAGCTCCTTGCTGCTTCCGATCGGAGAGGGGGAAGCCGGCGGAGGAGCGGTGTCTAACAGCCACAAACAGAGCCGAAGGAGCGACGTCGACCAGCCACTGAGGCGCTTAGAGGAGCAAAGTCGAACGGTCTAGAGGGAGCCGAGAAACGACGAGCTCCGACTGTTGATCCCGATCAAAATTTCGTGACTTTCGATCGGACGGCAGGGAAAATTGGCGGAAGGAGCGAAGTCGACCGGCCACGGGAGGAGTCAGAGAAGTGTCGCAAGGGAGAAAGTTACCCTTAGCAGCCAACGAACTCCTGCTCGATGCTTCCGATCGGAAGTGTCGTAACTTCCGAACCTACAGCAAGGGAAAGTCGTAGAAGGAGCGACGTCGAACAGCTATGCAGGAGTCGGAGAGGGAGAGAGTGAAAATGAGCGAGAGTCAGTCGAACGAAACCTTCGGCCTCGTTTTCTTTAGCTCTTTAACGACGTAAATGCGTCGTGGGAGAAATGTCGCGTCGCTAGATTTACGGGATTTGAACAGCGACGACGTGCGGAGTTCGGCGCCGAACAGGTGAGTTAATTTTTTTTGTTTTATACGGCAGGTCAACAAGATCAAATTATTATAAAGTGTGACTTATTATACAATAATGACAAATATATCATTGATGAACTACGTGGAGCGAGGACTTATGACAACACCCAAGAATATTAACATTAAACTTAAGTACATGACAATGACTTTAACTAGTGCTTGTCTACGACCCTCCACTTCAATTAAATGTGAATGAGCAAGATGGGGCTTGTAACTAAATACTAACTAAACATTGACGAATCATAAAGGGTATATGTTTGGTTCTTTTAAAATCTTGGCTTAGAGAAAGCATGCCCCACCAAAAAAAATCAATACTTATGGTTGTTTTGTATTGTTTGCATGTTAGGCAAAACGTCTGCAATCTTAAGAGCCCAACAAAAGCAATTTCAAACCAATCACAATACAATGAAACAAATATAGAAGAAAAAAAAAGATGCATATGTTAAATCACATAATACAAATAAAGCATAATAAATTGCAAAAAAAAATAAAAGTGAAAATGCAATTGGTTTTGCAATACAACCTAGATAAAGTAAAATAAATCTGAATATGGACTCTGCAACATATAACTCAAATACATTTTCTATAAAAAAAATGAAATGACATGTAAAGTCGTTAATATCAAAGTCCACCCAGTGCACATTTGGGTCTTTACCTTATAGATCATCCCATGTGCCTACATAACTTTCCTAAACTAAAATGCACATAAGAAAAAGAAAAATAAAAAGAGATGTAGTTATATACACACATAATTTTTTCTTAAGTTTGATTAACCCAGCTCATCCATGTGTTAAACAAGTATGTAATGCCTTCTAAGTTACTACAATATTAACATAGCTAAGAGAATCTAAAGGTCAAGAGTAACATAACAAAGAGTATGAGAGTGACCCATCCCATGATCCTAATTCCTCTATTTAGAAGAACTATAGATTTTAAGATACCATTAGAGTGGGCCTTTAGGTCAGACATTGCATTCTAAGACCTTTTGGCTCCAATAATACAAATATAGCCATGTTTCACGCAATCACCATTTGACATTGATTCCCTAAACCCTTAGTCTTGACCTCGATGTCATTCACATATTGTCCTAAAAACAAATTTGTTTTCCAACAACTATTTAAGGCATCTCTTCGAAAGACTTGGGGGTGAATGCCTAGAGATATGCAATCTTCTTCTTCCTCATTTGCTCTCAACAATTCTCTTTACAACCGACTATACCCCTATCAAATCCCATTGAAAAGGGATGTTCATCTCCACTCCTCCATGAAGGATTACTTTATGAATCATTATCTTTTATTTCCAACCCTTATTGAGCCTTATAAATCTCTATATAGTGAGATAAAGGCTTGATGTTATTGTACTAATAAAAATAATATGGAGGAACATAAAAAATTTTAATCGGAATTTGCACCATTCATAAGATATCAGAAAGTTGGCGTTGTATAATTGTTCAAAATGATACAAAACTCAGATACCACAATTAGAGACACTAATTAATACTGAATTTCACTCCAAAATAACACAACAAGAAGTTCTGGTAAATACAAGAGCTGGCTAACTTACAGATATTATACAAATTTGATACTTTCATGAAATCCTAAAGCAACAGCTCAGATATAACCTTCATTTTACTTCCTCTATCTCATCCAAGGCGTAGTTGTTTGTGGAGACACCAGCATAGTTCACTTTGTTAAATCGAACCACTATTGGGTAGCGACTCTTTGGATCCTGTATACAGTTGAGTTATATATATATATATATATATATGTATAGCAAAAAAGAGCTTAATAGAAAATATATAGTTATGTGGATGAACTTTGAATTTTAAGATATATTGCCTCACAATTTTCACATATTAAAATAATGATGTATCAAATTTGTGCAAAAAAAAAAGATAAATTTTACTAAACTAGGCTTAATTCAGCTAAAGAATTGGTTCACATACTTGATCGACAGTTACAACAGATCCAGTTCCATTGTACCAATAGGATTCCCTCCGGAGGATTTTCACCTTAGAGAAAAAAACACAGAATTATTGAGCCGCAGAAAATAGAAAAAAAGGAAAAAATAATTGCATTCGGATCATAATGACATCATACTTCAATATTAAAGTCTAATGAAGAACAACAAATCCTTCTTTTAGATATAGTAGAAGTAGTTTCAATATAGAAATTAATGTAAATTTGAAAAATAAAACATAATCGAGTTGAAGGTTCTTCCTTTGTGCTCTTTCATACATTGCTTCAGAGCAATTAACTCTTCGTTTATATGCAAGTAGTATTCGGACTAATGTAACGGAGGAATTATCCTTACAGCATATCCTCTGAACTTCATCATGATATCAAAGACAAAACTTGATCAAATCCTTCACCAATGCCTGATTTCTATCAAGATTTTCACCACAACAGCCTCTGCTGGATGTCTCAAATATTACCAATCCTTTAACTAGAACATCATATTATTGCGCTAGAGAAACCAGCAGATGAACCCATTGATTATAATGGAAATAGAACAAAAACTTAGAGAAAAGGCGGCTATTCAATCATTGAATGAATTAGGATTTCAAATGAAAGGGGAGAAAGAGTTTCCCAAATTTTAGGGGTGCAAGAATTCCATAATCTACATGATTGCCAGAGAATTTAAATATAAAGTTTTTAAATTATACATAACCAAATGATTTTTTTTAAAATATACAGGGCAAAAGACACCCACAGCCCATCTGGTTCTAGCACTGAATACGGAGTTCCATGCATGAGCAGTGTTGCCAACACCGAAGACAGTAAAGCACAGTTGAAAAGCGACCTTTATGGCTTGACAAAAGCAACCTCTCTCTTGGAAAAATATTCAGAGTAACAAATTCAGTAAAAAGCTCATTGCCATTCGAAAACCACTTTCTAATGTGGACAAACTGTTTCAAACCTCAGAAGGACTTGAAAAAAATACAAGGATTTCCGTATTTTTGTTGTATCAAAACCAACCAACCATTCCTTTAATCAATTTGTTATGTCATTTTAGAGTTTTTAGTGTGTATATCTTACTAAATTATTGAAGCAAAATCCTGCATTGATCAGAAATAAGCATTCCTTGTACAAAGAGAAAGAGGGAGAAACATGCCTTAAGGGGCAGGGAATGTGGCAATGGTCCTACCGCTAAGGTTATCCTCACTAAAATAGCAACAACAATCAAGCCTCCAACTCCACTGCTCTCTCAAAATTCAACAATAAATGGACTGGGCATCTTAAAAAACCAAATCAAAGCAAGGAAGCTTGACAAATCTGTAATAGAACCAAGCACAGTCCTGTAATATGTTATTACATGTATGACTATGAAACTGTAAAGAAATCACTCAAGATGCTTTGGCAGCAACGAACCTCAACCAAAATAATGATCTATTTTTTTATGTTGACTCCAGGATAACATCTCACTTGACAAATCAAGGAATAAACTAGAATTTTTAAAAAGTTATCATTGTACAAATTTCATCGTTATTGGTCATGGACAAACCTTACCTTTTACCTATACTTGTAGCATGGTCGTTCGCTCTAAAAACTATCATTGTTTCTAAACTAAAAGTAAATTTACCGATTGTTAGCTAATTGATTGATGATAACGCTTGTTCGCTTAAATTTGACTCTTCTGGTTTTATGAATAAGGATTTCAAGCAACAGATGGAATAGCCAAAGAACATAGGAAAGGGAAACTATTTGCACTTGATAAGAAGCAAGTTCAATCACTAACTGTGATCAAAACTAAGGGAGCTTATTCGGACTTTTGGCATGGTTGGTCAGGGCATCCTAACGATGTCTTTTTAAAGAATCTAGAAAATAAGAAAGTTATAGACGTTTCCCAATGACTAGCTAAAGACCCTATTTGTACCAGCTATCAGCTTAGAAAATGTTGTAAATTCTCTTTCAATAAATTTGAATCTACTTCCAATTCTCCTCCAGAGAAAATTCCCAGTGTTTTATGGGGTTCAAACCCTCAAGGTTTCAATATAATGTGGCTTGTATTGATGATTTAAAAAGTTACTCTGACTTATATTTTAGCTTTTTAAAGTTTAAAGCTTTTGTAGAAAGTCACTTTGAAAGGTAAGTTAAGTTCTTTCAATATAATGGAGGTGGTGAGTTCACTTCTCATGATTCCTCAAATTATTTGAGCATGTGGCATCAAACAAACAGATCTCATTTCCTCACACAAGGGAACACATGGATTCTAAAAAAAAGCATCAACACATCATCGAGACAAGTTTAAGTCTACTATTTCATACAAATTTTCCCCTCAAATAATGGGTTGATACATTTTTAACTACTACTTATTTAATACTACTTATTTAATAAACATGTTGGCTCTTTCTTCCGTCGATTGGAAAACTCCTTATTTCAGATTATTTGGTAAACATACTAATGATTGGGTTTTATGTATATTTGGTTCTAAATGCTTTACATATTTAAAACCTCTTAGCGTGTATAAATTTTCTAAAATATTATATCTTGTATTTTCTGGGATATAATCCTTTATGCAAAGACTATCTATATGTCGATCCTAGTTTACACATGATTTTTTTACATGTTTCCTTATCATAATTGTAAATCTTCTTCTATTCCTCATAAATTTTCCTCTGCAACTTATCCAAATCTTAATGAGTAGTTTACGGGGAAGAAATTTGAAGCTTCACCCACATCCTATGATGCACGAATATGGACACCGCGACACGACACGACATGGACACACTTTTTTTAAAAATATAGGACACGAGTACGGCGCGGACACGACATTACATTTTTTTTATATAGTGTATAGATATTAATTTAACATCATATTTGAAATGAAAAATAATAATAAATGAATGACATGATAACTTTTTGAGCTTATAAAATAAAATATTTAGTACAAAATGTCTAGTATAATCACAAAAATATAAGTAAATAGAAATTTACTACAACATCAAGCATTCAAGCTTCAACAACTATGATTAGCTTCAGAGGTTTGTTTTTTGCTTTCAATATCATCAACATTGAATATCATTGCTTCCAACTCTGATTCATCAAGAGAAAGATTTGTAATAGTTCATTGGATATCATATAATGAAAGTTGGTTCTACTTTGTATCTATTTACTTCTCTAGTTCGCTAGTTCTCTCACATAGTATTTCTTTAACCTCTAATATAAACAACAATGAATGTATCTATTTACTTCTATACTTCTCTAGTTCTCTAGTTCTCTAGTTCTCTCCCATAATAGTTCATTGGATATCATATATTAATCTTTAATCTATTAATCTTAAATCTTTTATATTATAAATATTTTCTATATTATTCTAACTTTTCACATATTTCAACAAATCCCATCACAACTAGAATTACAATAAGACATGCACATAAAAATCCTCCATATATAATCAAAATTATTCTTATTCCATGTCACTAAAAATTACAAACACAAGTAGGCATAAAGGTTTTCAATAATCATTACTGCACCTAAAAAAAAATTCATTCTTTAATAATCATGTCTTTCAATAATCGTATTGATGCATATTCGTGCGAATGTGATGTTTTATTTGATTTAGTAAATATCAAAAAAAATAAAATTTTATAATTTAAAAAAAAAATTATAATTAAAAATTAGGACACCCGTGTCCCAGCTGTGTTGGGTTTAATTTAAACATTATTTTAATCGGACACATGTTTGTCGTGTCTGTCATGTGTCCCAGCCGTGTTGGGCACGTGTCTGTATTAGACACGTGTCCGACACTACATTCTCTCTTCAAGAGGTGTGTCGGTGTATCATAGCCTTTGTTTAAAATTGCGCAACGAGAGGTGCACCTTGAGGCGCGCCTTTGCGCAATTCTTCCTAAAGGCGCCTCGAGGCACACGCAATTTGGAGCTTGGGTGAGGCGTACGCCTCACCCTGTGTGAGGCGTGCCTCAATGGCGCAATTGCTCAATAATGGGTGAGGCGTACGCCTCACCCGTTGGCCCCACCCTACTTAAAATGACTCATTCTTTTCCCCTACACTCGTTCGGCCCAGGCTTTTCCAGATAAAGCTCCGCCCGCAAGCTCCTGTTCGTGAAACAAAGCCCCTCCCGCACAGTCGGCCACCCTTCCAGCCGCCTCTCCCACCGGCACCGCCTCTCTCTGGCGAACTTGAAGTGTCCGGCCGCCTTGTAGGAGAAGTCCACAAACGATTTTAGGTATTTTTTTTTAGTTTTTGGTTAGATTTTTGAAGTGAAAGAAATTGTAGGGTTTTAAATTTTTTGAATTATTTTGTGTGATTTTCAATTCTTTCATTAGGGATCATGGTTAGAGGCAAGGAAAAGGCGTCTTTGTCATTGCGTAGGGACCCTTCTTGGAAATATAGTGTACAAGTTGACATTGGCGGCGAAGAGAAGAGCTATGTTTATTTGAAATGTAATTTTTGCGATAAAGTGGTGAAGGGAGGTGTTACCCGCATGAAGGAACTCCTATCATGCTCGCACAAAAATGTAGCACCCTGTGCAAATATGCCTGAAAAGGTGAAGGAGGAAATTATTGCTTATATGAAGAAACGTACCACGGCTAAACACTTGCAACATGAGCAATTTGATGATAGGGTCGAACATGGCGCTTATTTTGGGAGCGAGAGTGGAAAGAGCTCTTCCTCCACTATACATAACAGAGGTGCACGGGGTCCTATGGATCAGTATATGACTAATCCAGAAGAGGATAGGGACAAGCACAAATGATGCCTGTGGCCGGTACTAGAGAGGGTCGACGCCAGATTTGCATGGATATTGGGAGATTTTTTTTTGAATATGTCATACCTTTTTAATGTTGCTATGTCGTCTGCCTACTTCAATATGCTGCGGTCTATAGGGTTGTATGGGAGAGGGTTGAAGGCACCTTCTATATATGAGTTGCGAACATGAATTTTAAAGGAGGAGCTGCTGAACACAGAGCGTAGCATTGGGAAGATTAAAAGGACATGGACTGAGACTGGAGTGACTATATGTCAGATGGATGGTCTGACATGAAGA